GTGACAACCAGGAATGGAACTTGAAAAGACGTGAATTCACGTCAATGGCAACCAGGAATAGAACTTGAAAATACGTGAATTCACGTCAGTGGCAACCAGGAATGAAACTTGAAAAGATGTGAATTCATGTCAGTGACAACCAGGAATGGAACTTGAAAAGACGTGAATTCACGTCAGTGGCAACCAGGAATAGAACTTGAAAAGACGTGAATTCACGTCAGTGGCAACCAGGAATAGAACTTGAAAAGACGTGAATTCACGTCAGCGGTCGCGAATGTGTTAATAAAGTAATCAATATAATTAGCACGCGTTGGTCGCAAGCCGCGGAATCGGCAGTATTCACAAATCGGCCCCTCCACGCGCTCTCCCAGCCGAAGAAAGTCGCATTTTCTATTTATTTTTACAAATACATTTACTCTTCTACTCGAAAGAATTTACATCTACGAGTATATAAGGGAGGCCGGGGCAAGTTATCCTACGGGGTAAATTAACCAATGTTTAACAACTTTTATTTTATAACTTAACATCATTCTCGATTTCACCTTACATTCTTAATCGTGTCCCACTCTTTTGTTGACACATAACATATTTGTTTGAAACGTTCTTTATTTATTACAAATAAAACATTAAAACTGCAATGATTAGTAAATTTGTTTAATCCTTTTTTCCTTATTTTTTTTGTGAAGTATACGACTTTCTGTCTTTTTGAGAATATGACATACCAAAATAGCATCTGTTAGCACGTACTATGTATACTTTTTCATGAAATAATGTACCGTTTTTCAATACGCCTTCGATTGTTATTATTTGTGACTGTTTGTGATTATCCGCCAACTACAACGTAAAAAATATGCTCTAACAACTTTTCAGAACACCTTTATTTTGCTTGAGCAAATCATGAAAAAATCTAAGAAATAAATTATTACGTATTTATAAATGTATATTTTGTTACTACTAGTAATGAGAAAAAAATTTGTAATTACTGCACTTTGTTATTTTAAATTTTGTGTGAATTTCGTGTGGATCTCATGCCGGGTTAATTTACCCTAACCAATAGGTCAACTTGCCCCGTATGCGTAAATAACGTTTTCTTTAATTTCTTGTAAAAGATTAAAGAAACTTGGACTGCAATTATTGTACCTGAATGTATGGTCTACACTTCGGAGTATAATATATTCGAAAATTTTCATTGTCTCGGTCACAATTAAATATTATTTACAAATTTGGTCAATTTGCCCCGGTCTCTCCTATAAAATTAATATTTTGTATTTGGAAGTAAATGTTTGAACCAAAGCTCAAGTCTTTGAAATGGAAGCATTGAATGTATTAAATAAAAGTCAGGATTAAAGTACTTAAAGTGAAACAATTACTATTCGCAATTTTGTTTACTTCAAACCCATTTTCGATTAGCATTGACTAACTTGAAAGATGGATTTAATTTGTAAAATTTAATATCGAGTCGAGTCAGTTCTCTTTTTTCAGTTATTTCATACACTACCCAGATAGACAAAGTAATGCAAAATTTGCATCAAATTTGTCTCATAAAAGATCATGAAATGAACCTCAAGGGTGTCGCGTATGAGTCCACATTTGGAACTCGTATCTGCAGGACACAATATCGAACCAAAAATACTTCAATATAAAACAAAATTAAGTACATGCAATGTCTCAATGTTAATCTACATATGAGCCGCTCAGTGCACACATTGATTAACTCCATAAAACAAAAAGTTGAGAAATGCGAGGAAGTAATGTAGATTCTTTTTTAAAATTCCTATTATAATATAACTTCAAATATATAATATAGAATACATAAATACAGTTATAGTTTTCATCTAACGGTATATAAAATTAGTAAGAAAGAATAGCCAAAAAATAATCGTCTGCATTTTATATCGACAAATGTTTTTGCAGGTATTAAATTTCCTCCCCTATTTCTGTATGCCAAACCTTTTGTTCCGTTATGCTTTTGTAAATTTCGTGCCCATTTATCAGGATTACGACTTCTTTTCCTCCCAATCGATGTGTTTGTTGGGGAATTTGTACCGTTGCAATCAGATGAATCCGAGAAACACGATAAACGTCTTCTTGCAGCAGACTTTCTACCGATAAATCGTATTGAAGAATCATCCCTGCTTTCCACATCCACATTATTATTAGTTTCACTCATCTTGATTATAACGGTATAATATTTAGTTCTTTAAAAACAATCAGGGAGTAATGTTGAAAAGACCAAAAAATATATAGTCCGTGTAATATTGGTGAAGTATACGGTAACATTCAGCGTGAGAGATCACTGTTATACTAACTACCGTCTGCATTGCGCTTCTTTCTATCCGTTTGCTGATGCGATTTTATTACTCATATTGTTGAAAGGGGGAAAGCATCTTCGGCTGTTTAAAAAAAAAAAGCGTCGATGTACGGCCGCAATAGATAATCCAATAATACTATACTGCCAGGTATTCGTCTACGATTTACATTAGAGGATGGAGTTAATCAAAATGGCTTCTGAAATAAATTACTTATTATTCAATGCCCAAACAAATTTTGCCGTTTAATGGTGTTAAACTCTATTAATCAGGAAAGATATTATAAATATAAAAAGTTATCACTATACCAAGTGCTTTGACACTTAAATTTAAAATTTTTCAAAAAGTGGAGTTAGTCGATGTGTGCACTGAGCGGCTCATATGTACAGCTAAATTTATCTCACGTATTGCCGATAAACAATTGCAGCGCCTGTAGCTCATATTTGAGCCACGGGGTAACGAATTTATCGCAAATTATTGTTCATATTTATTGCTTAATATGCGCACATATATCGCAGACGTTTCATGCAGCAAATGGTTTGCAAATTATTTGTATATCAATTTTCCTCATCGTATGATGATCATGAATTTCTATTTGGGTACTTTCTCTTATTTTGGAAAATTTTCGGATGTCGCATTTCTCTCAAGTTCCCACCTCCTCTCAACGATCTGATATTTTTACATGCGCATATGTCGGCGAAAATGAAATTTTAATTCTTACGTAAATTTCAATGAAAAAAATGTTTAACCATGCTCTTCGAACTTGTTACACGTGATTCGCATATTTTTCTGCACATTTATAACGCGCTTAGATAAAACTTGGCGAATAAAAAGAATGGACATCTTTAACATTACTATATCAACTATATTACATATTATACATATTTCATAACATATAACCAAAACAGGCCATAAGGCTGGATAACCCTTCCTTTATGATCGGTGAACATTTTCCGTATAACCGAGTTTTCCGTGACTCCAGAAAAGTTAAAAATCGCTACAATAACTAAACAAAATGTCAAACTATTGGCATATGTCCGTTTTGTAATATTTGCTACTTTTCCCTGGAAAAAAAGTATACTATAAATCTTATTGCATAGTGTGATATAAAATGCTTTTGGAAAATAGCCAGGATACATTGAGAAAGCATATATGATTACAGCAAATGTTAAAATGACATACGGTAACTGATTCCATTGTTAAAATGTTAAAATGACAAACGGTAACTGATTCCATTTTATATGATTACGAGGAATCGTTGCGTACTCCGTATCTTTGATGACAGACCTACAAGAAGAACAACTTAAGGTGAAGTGAAACCCCCTTCAAATCAGTCGATTCGAATACAACACTTTTTTTTAAGGGTATTGGACCAAACGGTTCGAAACTTTGACACATGACTCGTGATCATCTGTTCTTTTGTCGTGACACATTCAAAATTTGGATTTTTTGAAAAAATTTGTTAACTTAGCCCAGACCAGAACCAAAATGGCGTCGAGCTCTAATATTTCGATCAACATACAATTATCGAAGGCTCCGATGTGAGAATCAAAAGGGTCAGGACAATTTTACGACAATATAGAACACTCTGGTTGTTACGTTCGTAAGAAAAATGCTTGTAGTAATTAGAGTACATAGTTACAACTTCACGAGACCTCGTACCATCCTAGGAATTTTGACTTTTTCCGCGTTCTCACGGTGTGCATTTGGCCGCCAAATGTTGTTTGCCTTTGTGCGAAGAAACCGAACTTTCGCAAAGGGTTGGGTAAACAAGACCATAAAGAATACCCTCGGACGGTACGTGATCTTACAAAGGCATGGTCAGGCTGTACTCGATCTGGCTACCCTTTTGCTACCCTCGCTGCCGAGGTCGTGGGAGGCGATTTTTTGGGCATCTCCGCCAACGAACCAATCACGTAAAATTTAGAACAAATGTGTATCCCTTCCACAACGCGGCAACATTTTCTGAGGTACCGCGAGTCCTTGCGTGTCTCCAAAAAGGACACTCTGCTTTTTACAACGAACGAAGGAAGTCCTCGATTCTCAACTAGAACAACGTAACGCGAAGCTGCATCCCTCCGCACGCTTTATCCCAGTAGAAGTCTGGTATAAAAACAATTAATCAGAACTACTAGGAGCTGTTCGTCTTCTAGCGTGCAGTGCAAAGAAGACTGGTAGTCGATAAACTCGCATTTGAACGGGATAAAGGCAAAAAACGTGTTGTATGCGCTTCTATGCTAAAAGGATGGTAATACGAGGTCTCGAAGTAAACATTTAATTGACCTGGAAATCACAGATGGCGCAGGGGATGCCTCTGCAGTCAATTAGGACTCCAGAAAGCACGAATCCAGAGGGTTTCTGGAGTTTTACTTCGATTTCTTTATAATTATTGTACGAAAACGACAGGTGGAGTATGCCATTTGGTACAATACCCAATATAATTCGACACAGCTGTCAATATAAAAACCAACGTCGGCAACGTAGGCATTTAGAAAAATCTTTATGGACGTTGATCAAGTTCCTCGACGTGTTTCACTTCACCTTAATGATTTCATGTTCTCCGTGTCGAGCGTCATTCACCGGGACACCATCAACAGGAGCAGGCCATGTTCCGTTTCCATGTGGATATCTATATCTAATCGATTCGATGACGTTGAACGACTGTAGGAAAACGTTTGCTTGTTGTTTCAGGGCGACCTTTTCGGCGGTTTAAACGGCGGCCTACAGGATGGATTACTCTCGAGGGCGGAAGCTTTAGCCGCGGATTTGGGGAAACATAACGCGGGCACCCCGATGCCTTTGAAGCATGATCCCGTCTCGGTTTACCATCACGGTGCTCACATGCCGGCCCCCCACCCAAACAATCGGCCACATCACCAGGTACAATCACACCTCTTTGTGAGTCTGCATTGATGACATCTTATTCCCTAGTTGATATACCCCGGTACGCCAACCCCAATGCGTAGAAGATTACGATGCGTGCCTTAACATAAGCTAGGCGTTCTTTTCTTCTCTTACGTACAAAGTCGAGACTTATGCTTCGCAAATAATTGCCTAATGATTTCCATACAAATTGAAAAAGAAAAAATTAGTCACGAGAAAACAACGGAATGTCGACAGAGAAATTAATCACTTAAACTGTGACCGTTTATTGATAGGGATGTAATTGCTTCCGGGGAACATAATGTTCTTCACCCGTACTTGTATGCAAGAATTTATAACTTGTTGCAATTTATAATTTCGACGAGTTTTACATTCTTCTAATCTGGGAAATTGATGCATTTATATTAACACTTAAATGACCGCATATTATTTCCCGTAAGGTTACTCTGAGACCGGCGAAAAGAGATGCAAACGAGAAATCTCGTGTTAAAGTATGTATAGGGATTAACATATTGAGTTCCGCTGATTTAGACCTATATTACGATGGGCCTATGCTCGCATCTCCAAATCCTTTTTAATTTATGCTGAATTAATGAAACTTTCCTTACGGTTTTCTTCTTCAGGGCTTCCGTTGCGAGATCATGTGAATTTACTTTTGTGATCATGCGGTAGGTATCTCCACGATCGTAGAGAAAAATTTCGAACAAATAGGTACCATCTCATGGTGCTGATACGAAATGATAGAAACGCTTCCATTAGAAAACATTGTATCGTTTTGGACTAATTGCATGAAACGGATGCTGAACCGATGTGAATCGGTCGCGGGTAAAACATTTCTAAGTTCACAAGAATCCTTGCAGCCACCCTGGAACTTCATATAAGTAATAAGTAACTCTTCATATAAGTAATTCCGGCACAAATAAATTCAATCCAACTTTATCGCTTTATAATACCGCCTGTGTAAAATAAACGCTAATTTTTATACTTTGTTTTCAACATATAACACTTTTAAAATATCTTCTCGGATAATTACTTATTAACAAATTTATTCCTTCCAAATGGTGGTTTATCGGTAACTTTACTAATTCAAAGAAATTACATTTTTGTAATGTTTTTCAACACGTTTTCTGTATTATAGTGCTCTTATAAAGAAAATTTAAATATTACTCGAGCGATTCTCGTATGAGTCTCTCGTGAATATATGAAATACATCGAATAAACGAATTCCCGGTAGACAAGTTTCCTCGACACGTGTCTGCCTAGTCGATGAACATTAGAAGGGAAGACGATTTATTTGTAAGCACCCCTGCTGGAGGTATTAAATGGACAGTATTGTTCTCGCAATCATGAGGTTTAAGGGCGCTCACCGCTCTAGCGATTTTGCAGGGCCTCACGGGGACAACGATTCCGAACGTATTTCTAAACCGATCGAGCTTAACGAGTGCTCATATCGAAGATGAAACGTTGACCTGTGTTTATATGGGAGCGATTTTCGATAAGTGGTCATTTTCATATAAAAAGTGCAACGACATAATTTCAATGCCCTTTTACCTAGGAAGGAGGTGCTCGATCGAAAATCGCTCCCATGTAAACACACGTCAACGTTTTATCTTTAAAACGAGCACTCGTTGAGCTCGATCGGTTGAGAAATACGCTCAAAATCGTTGTCCCCGTGGAGCACCTTTTTCAGGATTTTCGAGTTTCTCGCGAGGAATTTGGGCATTCCTTGGCAACTGTTGCCGACTCTAGGCGGAGCGTCAAACTGGCGTGTGCAGGCGGCTGGGTATCACCCACGTTTCGGCGCCTAGTCCAGAGGCGTCTAGCCGTTGCGTGAGTCCTAAACGTGCAAAATACGCACACATTTTTCGTCCGTTGTTAAACATCGCCCGTTATGCGTCGCGTCTTTCTCATTCGAGCGAGAAAGTACGTTTTGGTTACCTCCCACCGAATTCGATGCTGATGCCATCTAGCGGTGGAAGTCATCGTTCCCACTTTGCTGGTGAACGCCGTTAACGAGTGCTTATAATGAAGATGAAATGTTGACCTGTGTTTATATGGGAGCGATTTTCGATAAGTGGTCATTTTCATATAAAAAAGTGCAACGACATAATTTCAATGCCCTTTTATCTAGGAAGGAGGTGCTCGATCGAAAATCGCTCCCATATAAACACACGTCAACGTTTTATCTTTAAAACGAGCACTCGTTGAGATCAATCGGTTGAGAAATACGCTCAAAATCGTTGTCCCCGTGGAGCACCTTTTTCAGGATTTTCGAGTTTCTCGCGAGAAATTTGGGCATTCCTTGGCAACTGTTGCTGACTCTAGGCGGAGCGTCAAACTGACGTGTGCGGGCGGCCAGGAGTCACACACGTTTCGGCGCCTAGTCCAGAGGCGTCTAGCCGTTGCGTGAGTCCTATACGTGCGAAATACGCACACATTTTTCGCCCGTTGTCAAACATCGCCCATTATGCGTCGCGTCTCCCTCATCCGAGCGAGAAAGTACGTTTTGGTTACCTCCTACCGAATTCGATGCTGATGCCATCTAGCGGTGGAAGTCATCGTCCCCACTTTGGTGGTGAACGCCGTTAAGTTTTCCTGCACGATACATCTCCTTTTAAATTGATAATACAAGGAGCTTCAGAAATAAAAATTTAATTTCCATTCTCTGTTATGCTAAATCAAATCGTTCCTATTAATTTCCGTAAATATAGATCCCCTGAAAACACCTTTGGTGTACACAAATTTAGCCAAATACATTTATCTTTATTCAATTAATTGCAAAAATAGCTCAAATCAGCTATTTTTTTGCCAGATATAGTAAAACATTCATTCCATTAAAATCTTAGCTAAAATTTGTGTGCCAATGTCACGGTATATTTGGTTTCACGTATGTTGTATGTACAAGAATTTTCTGCATCCTCAAACCAAAGACAAATATTAAAACTATATTGAAAAAAATAAAAAAATGAGAAACTAAACTTGAAAATATTATTTTATTTGTCGAGAACCAAAATGATCATATGCTAGGAGTATTCCTCTGGTGCTCGCCAAATAAAATATCATTTCAAATTTAGTTTCTAAGTATTTTATTTGTTTCGATATAGTTTTCAATATTTGTCTTCGGTTAGAGGATGCAGAGAATCTTGTACATACAACATACGTGAAACAAAATATACTGTGACATTCGGCAAAAAGATTTTAGCTGAGACTTTAATGGAATGAATGTTCTACTATATTTAGCAAAAATAGCTGATCTGAGCTTTTCACGGGAAGGGAGCAATATGAGTTATTTTTGCAATTATGTGAATGATATATTATTTGGCATATTCGATCCGCCATTTTGACTTTGAAATTCGCACTCTGTTGTCATATTTGAATTCAGCGATTCCAAGATTCTAGAGAAATCTTTTTTTTTTATAAAAATCAAATCAGTCTGAAATTTTTTGTCTGCCATATTGGGTGCGCCATTTTGAATATTGAAATTATATTATCGGACTTAGCTTCGGCGGTCTCAAGAACACCAGGAAACCGTTTTTCTATAAAAATTGAATGAGTTTAAGGCTGGGATGGGTATAGTTCCTTTTCATTCCGCGCGAGGCGGTGTCGCATGTTGGGTGCCCAAAAACTATACGACAGTCCACCTATCATGTCCGTGCGAAAAAAGTAGCCTGTGACTGGGGCGACGACGATGATAATAACAGAACCACGATTCTGACAGTACTTAAAAACTTTACGATGCTAAATCTTCAGGTAGGTACTGGCGATCGGTGTCAGGTAAATTTTAAAAAATTCCTGATTTTTTACTTAATTTTTTAGCTGATTAGACGTTTATTTCTTATTCAATAGTAATGTAGAGAGTAGACTCCCATTTACCCCACTCCTGAAATGTCGATCCTTAGCGTGTAGAACTCTGTAGCATCTCGTTCGAGCTCAAGCGCGCAGGGGGCGTTTCTCTCAGCACACGACGCTATTAGATTCTTGCTCAAAAATGAATTTGGCTCGAAACTCAACCGAGTTTCTCGATGTCTAGGAAAAAGTAATTTTAGGAACTCTCGGAACACGACGCTGTGAGTTCTCGCTCAAAAATGTATTTGGCTCGAAACTCTACCGAGTTTCTTGACAGGACCCTTAGAATTAGATAAAGGACTTTAAATCATTAACGCAAATAATGAACCAATTCAATTGACGCTTCCTTAATTAAAAATGAAATAAAATTTGAGTTGTGTATAAATGTAATAAATAAAAAAATCTCCACTATATTCAACGCATGAATAAAGTCGTACATTTTGATATTCTGGGTGAAAATGACGTTCAGTAGTTATATTTAAATTATATTCCGTGAAAAATGCTTTAACGTTAATAGCGCAAGTTAATTCTTAAATATATATATATTGTTTCGAAGTTTTATAAATAAGTAAATAAAAAGAAAATTTCAAACTTGGTTTGGCGACACATGCTGTCACTGGAATTAATGTCTTTTTCCTCGAAATGAAGCAACAAAAAAAGAAATGACGGCCCAAAAGATCACAGGATAAAAATGATTTTTACTGATTTCGAACTTCTTGTGTTTAGAAAATATTAATACTACACTTAATAGAGTTATGATACGTTTACTAGATCTAGATGTTGAGCAATTAAGGGCGGGTAAAGAGTTAAATATTGTCATGATCTTTATTTCACGTGGGGGGAAACTGTACGGAACATAGTTCATTTAGAAAGGTACCCTCCATTTTTAATTTCTATTTTACCTACTAAAATTATAAATTCTAAATAAAAGAATGGAGTAATTATCTTTGTAACGAGAGTCGAGCATCAATTAAAATTTAAAAAAAATTTACTTATAACGATAAGTGCTGTTTTCTCTTATTATTTTTTAATTTCTACCCATATATTTTGAAGGGAATTCTGTTACAGCCTTTTAGTCAAAAGTTTCAAAAGATAAAAATATGCCTGCACATGAACGTACGCATACCCAATGAGATAGTAATTAAAAGCAA